ATAGATAGATAGATAGATAGATAGATAGATAGATAGATAGATAGATAGATAGATAGATAGATAGATAGATAGATAGATAGATAGATAGATAGATAAAGTATATATATGTCAGGACACATTTTACTGCGTGTTGTATTTGTATATTTATGCGACATTTGTGTGACAAATAAAGGATCTTGAATCTTGAAGTTTGGTGTCATCTGCATAGCAGTGAAAATGTATGCTATGTGTAGACACAACATCAATCCCTTGAATTAGGTGCCTTGATTCCTAGGTCAGTGTTCAGTGCTTCAACAAGTGACAAAATAATCCTCTGAAAATGGTCAGATATCAGGAGTCGACTGAAAATGAGTGAAAAGCAGAGAAACTTCTGAAAACCAGGAGCTCGATTATATCAGATCCCTTTTAAAATGATGGCTGTTTCTGTGATATTTGCAGGAGCACCTCTTACATATTTGTTATTATGTGAATCTGCAAATGTGCCTGCAGATTTCTGTACCATTTTATCTGGTAACAAAATTTGGTACAGGGCACTAAGTGTCCATGTCAGAATAAGGGGTAAAAGGAAACACAGTGGCTTGTAATCTGTATACACAACACTAGAGGTCAGTGTTTTACCCTGAATCCATTGATGCTAGAGCTCACAAGTTAGATACAAAATAGATCCAGAAATAATGAGCCAACAGCGATTCTGGGGAATTTTGGACAGTTTGGGGTTTGTTACAAACTGCTGGACCTGCACGAGCAGTTTGTAACAGTGACGGATAAATGTTGAGGAACAAACGCAGCACACCACATTCTGATTTCTGTTGTCTTTATTAGTGGAATGGAATATACACCTCTGTGCTTTAATGCTGTTTTCTCCGTCATTCATCCATCGCTCCTCACTCTCTCTCTGAGACTGAACATCATCACTTTAACTCTGAGGCGTCTGAAATGCTGCTGATCATCTCATCTAAGCTCCCATTGTGTCACCTCAGGATCAGACCAGTGTGCTTCAGTCAGGTTCACCTGACATTTAAAAAAAAGTGACATTTAAATTGAATTACCTGTGCTCAAATGCTTTAGAACCACCACATCATTCTCAAAGCAACATAAATAAGTTAAAGAGCAACTTAACACCCAGTTTTAACTGGAAACAGTCTTTCACACATTCATCAAATCTGTTGCACACATAACTCTGGTTCCATGAGTAGCCTTTGGGCTTCTGGAAACATATAACAGTGTAAGCAGTAAACAGAGTCAGAAAGAACAGTTTATATTTTTCCCCAAGACTCCGGATCCTTATCAGGAGATTCCTGTTGCTTATAAATCTAAACACAGCATTAAGGAAAATTGTTATTTTCTCATTATTACATTACATTTAATTTCATCTCATTACATTTCTCATTAATAACTGGAATTATTAGGTTGCTCTTTAAACCTCGTGCTGAAACTGTGACATACAGAGAACATCTGACTGGAGGGGGGGGGTTAATGGATGAATTTGGACCTGCCGACCAATCACAGTAAAATCTATGACTGCGGTAATCACTACACTTAAACCGTGATTATTACATCTCATGGTCAGGCCAGTCCCCAGGACAGCGTCACCCCCTGAATCACTACACGTATGTCCCATTCTAAGCCATGACTGAAACGTATATATTACATCTCTATGAAGGTTTATGACAGGACTAAATTACCAAAGCAGGACGCTCAAATTTAAATTTAGATGTTTCCTGATTTCCAAAGACAACAAAGCAACATGACATTAAACAGCAGACCCCAGTAAATTACAGTCAAGCCATGAATCCCAGCCATGGCTCCACCCATCAGCATCTGCATGAGTGACAGTACCTCACTCAAGGTTCAAGGTTCAAGGTTCAATGAAATAACTCATGAAATAACACTGGATTTATATCAACTTAAAAAATGAACTTGCTTCACAGTTTTGGAATTTAAAAGTAATAATAATTAAAAGAAACGTGTAAGGGAAAGGAAATGTAAAAAAAAAAAGTCAGAAGGCCAAAGAGGCAACAGCGTATCAGCTGGCTAATTTAACACAACCTATATTTAAGTTTGATAATAACTGACTTAAAGAGTACGCAAGTGGGTATCAATGCTCCTTTTTTGTGTAATTGTCATTCGACACGGACAGTGGGGGGGTGGATGCCAGCTGGAGGCCATAGCTACAGAATAAAGCGAAAACATTGAGACTGCGAAGGTATTTCAGAAAACAAGCCAAAGATCCGTCCAGCCCGTCCGTCCAGTCCCCGCTCTCTCGTTAAACTACAGGAGAAAACAGATAAAATACCTATAACGGTATCCATGCATATTTGTGACTGCTCATCATACGAACACATACACGCATTCACACGTACACGCACAAACAGCCGCCCGACCTCGCGCATACACACTTTGCATTCTGGCGAGGAACATGCCTGAATGATTCACTGATAATAATCTGCTTCTCGGTAATCTAACTGCTCGGTGGTGCAAACACTCGTCTTGAAAAGATTCAGGGACAGAGGGGATGAGGAAAACAAACCAACAACTGGCAGGAGAGAAAACAATAAGAGTCGTCATGCAAAAGAACAGATGATGAGATTTTCTTCCCCACTATGTCGTGTTTTTTTCTCTTTTTTTTCTCTGATATGCTTTATAAATTCCTATGATCAGTAGTGCTACTTCTACTGTACGAGGCTCATGCACGAAGGAACGCCAGTCAGATACCCGATGACTTTCATCTCTTTTTTCTTTTTCTCTATTTTTATCTTTTTTTTGTTTAGATTTGAGGATTTGATTGGAAGATGCGGGTGAAAGTTTATGATACAAAATATGTTACAGTATGTACCTCTTGTCTTCTGTCTGTGTGTCACGCATTCACACTCGCTCTTAAATGGTTCAAGGAAACGCTTCAACAAATCGCTCACGGCTGAGCTCACACGTGGCCGACGGCGTCCACTCTTGAAAAAGCATGTATGGTTTTGAATGCACGTGCTGACGTATATTTAAAGGGTAACTTTCAACACATCTGAGCACGAGTCTCCGCCCAGTGAGCGCTGACGCTACATGCTTCCATAGATGCAAGCAGAGCCTTTATTTTACTCAAATCAGTGCACTGAACTCAGTTAAACTCATATTGAGTTACCATTTCTTTCCGCCTGCATACTAAGAAGTAAAAACATTAATGTTCAACTTCAAATCCCTTATTTGTAGAGTTGTGATCATTATTTTAGTTATACTAGATTTAGATTTTTGTGGATTTAGCTGATAACAGACTGAGACTCTCGCACAGATTCCTCTCTGTCAGCGTTCAGATGCCAGATGCCGTCTCTCTTGAACATGTAAGGTAAAGACTGTGTACAAATGCCCTGTTTAGTCTGTTCAAATTGAACTCTGGTTCATTTTCTTATTTGGTGCAGTTTGATTGCACAGATGTGAACATTATATCTCACTTGTGTGACCCCGGAGGAGGCGTCTCAGTCTGGTCGCAGAGCGGTTTCAGTACAAGTGTAAACATGATTACCAGGTGTATCAACAACATTTCTTTTACAGTTATGAAGTGATTTTGTTGGTTTAAAAACGGACTCGCCCGATCCATTAACAGTAGCATACTTAGCTGACTTACTGTCCAGCTGATAGATGTTCACACTTTTGAATGTCACTGGCAGCCTCGTGCTCAGAGAAACAACTATTTGTAAAGAAGCATCATGACTTGTTTAATTGGATTATACATTTAAAAGAAATAAAACAACTAAAAATTCTAAAAGTTTCTCATTTGTTGGAACTTTAGTTTAGCATCATAACATTACCTTATGTTATAAGAGCATGTTGGCAAAAGATTAAATAAGCTCTATAAATATTGTGGATGAGTTACTCGTATTAAAGCCTTTAAAAGCATGAAGACATTACAGAAGAAACAGAGGATTAATGATATAAACAAGCGTGAATCATTGCTCATGTGGATGTTTTCCACTTCAGCAAAGATGTGAAAAACAAGCCTTTTTCTTCCAAAGTGTCCGTCGTCGGGGCGAACGTACTCTCAGCGCTTAAAGAGCTTTCAGTGTCGGCGTTTCCTTTCCCCTTCAAATCTATTGCAGAATACTCGTTATGTTCTCTCTCAGTGGAAAGATCGCATAACAAATGCATTTTTTTAGTTGCTTTACACTTTGTTCCCTGCAATAATTACTGTAGTTTTAAACACACACATTATAACTGTTATTAATATTATTCTGTTCATTTGTTGATGCTATTTTCCTGCTTGTTGTAATGTTGCATATTTTGAAAGGTAAAAGGCTCTTGATCCCGGTCTGGGCGTTAGTGTCAACACTGACAAACACTTCAGAGCTACAGTCAGACTAGACCAGAGTAATCCAGTCCAGGACCATTAATTTAACTCTCCACAGTTTATTTAGAAAACCAGGTGAGTCCAGTGCTGCTCAGACCAGCTCCTTAAAGATGCAGACTGCCCAGTGTAGTTTTGCGAGTTGCTCAACAAAGATTATTGGGTTTCACTGAGCTTCCCAAATTATTTGAAGTTCAAGTGATCAAGAGTTCCCCTTCATGATTTCCTTGATTTTCTAAATATGAGACCTTCAGCTGCTCAGCGAGAACTGTCAGAGAGCTCGTCCACAAACTCTTCAAAAATCCAGATGAGTGCAGATGAGTGCAGATGAGTCTTTCAGCTTTTTGTTTAGAGTTTAAACCTTCATGTTTCAAGCAAAAGAGATCCAGAAGTGAACTTAGCTGTGCAGCACTGTCGCTCCATTCAGGCTTCAACATGTAGTCTGTCGTTGGAATGAAAAGAAATCCAGCCAAAGAAAACAAAAGTTCCGGCACACGTTTCCTACAAGAAAATAAAAACCTCAAAATGTCTTAGATATGGCCCTTCAAGCTGCTGAGGGTTATTTGGTTGTCTACAGGTCATCTCCATTAAATCTTTTACCAATAACTAGACCAGCCTGTTCTAAATGATCCTCTGGTGGTTGTTGGTCCCTCCCAAAGCAACAGGCAATGCTCTCTTGTGTTTATAAAACCACTCAGTCCATTCATGTCGAGTTTACACTGAAAAATAAAACTTCTGTCGTCAGCAGTCATTTAGCATGCCTCCTCTGAAGGAGGGAAACCGAAGCCAGCCAAACCATCAGCCAGTTTGGGATGACTTTTGGAGTCTTGGCTTCTTTTCCACTGATGTTTCAGGTTGAACCCTTCATGGGTTTGTGCAATGAGCTCTAAAAGGTCAAAACTGTGCAAGGCGGATCAAATGTGTGCAAGGAGACAAAATGCATGAGGGTGGATCCTAAAGGTTTAAGAAGGTCTTTTGCTTCGTTCATGAAGTTGTAGCTTTTGATTTGAGCTTTTTTTTTTTTTTGAGGTTCTTATTTTTCAGTTGTCGTTGGATGTGGTCGTACATTTTTCTTCCCATCTCACCTGCCGTTTTAGCTATACGACCGTTTAATCCATGTAACCAGCGAAATGTATGTGGAAGTTAAAGCAATCAGTCAGGAATCAATCTGAGTATTTTCTTCCCGATATTTCAGCTAGCAGCGCCCCAGATCCAGGATCAGAGGTTCAAAGGAAGTTCACTGGGAAAGTGGCTGGTGGGGCGGAGGGGTGTCAGGAGGGGTGTCATGTGTGGAGCTGGAGGTTATAAGGAGGAGATTTTGACGGTTTCATGGGTAAAAGCTGTTGCTCGGGTGTTGCGCAGGATGCCGGGGATGGGGGCAGGCGACGGGGGGAGGCTTTCGTCCGGTGTGTTGGCCGGCGGCGTGGGAATGCTGATGATTGCAGCAGTGAAATCTTGTTCCCCGCAGTTCAGCTTTAGGTTGTCAGCCTGGGCGTTCAGACTGGAACGACTGAAATAAAGAAAAAGAGAAAAGAAAAGATAAGATAAGCAAAAGGTTGTTTTTTTATTTGTGTGATAAATTTAGATACGCAGGTGTGTATCTTTATCTGATTATAGCATCTGTGTTTACGTTTGTGGCGGTATGGAGGTTGTTTTGATATGCAGGGTGTCCAGTTCCTGGACGCTCCCCCGGCTGACTGATGCAGTGGAGTTAGCCAGGCGCATGGCGGCTCGCCTCCTGGCCCTGCGCGGGCAGCAGCCGGTGGGGTTGTTCTGTGCCCCCTGCTGGCTGGATAGAGAAGTGCTGCGACTGGTCCTGAAGCCCACTGACTCAGTCATACACAGCTCGCTGTAGGTCATCTCATCTGTGAACTCATGGTTCTGTAAGCAGAGGCAGGAAGGAGGGAGGTCAGCTGAAGTTTCAATCTTGCATGTGTGGATTGTGGAAGATGCGCTTTTGCATTTCTCTGAAGTCGTAAATCGAAATCTTTGTGATTTTCTGCCTCTGCATATTTTTGTGGCCTAATTTGTATGTTACAGTTTTACAGTCTCTTAAGTATATTTTTTCTTCTCATTTCTTTTATTTTTGGGATATTTGTGTTATTTTTAGGGTGTTTTCTGCATATGATTGTCTTTTTGTCTTTAGTTTTTCCAGATGAAGCTCTTGAAATTCTTCTGTTCATTAATCTATGTGTGATCTTCAGTCTGTGACTGCTGACCGTCTTAAAAAGTGAAGCTAAAATATCTCTCTCTCTACACTGAATGACTGTAAGCTTATTTTAATGGCATGGATGAAAAGGGCTGAATGAAATGTACATTTCAAAATGTACTGAGAGAATCCAGAAGGGCGACTTAAAGGAAACTTTGGTGAGTCTGTTTATCCAGCTTCTGTTTCTAGGATCAGAAACAGAGTTTATATTAAGGCTTTGTACAAAGACAAAGAACTGCTGAAGATATTTTAAACTGGTGTTCAAAAAAGTAAGAGGCAGCTTGAGGTCTGTCTGCATAAGATGTAATAGTTGATGGTCCTGAGGGAAATTAAATGTCTGAAACCTCACCGTTGTCTTCTCCAGACAGTGCAGCAGGTGGTGGTGTTGGTGCTCGAAAGCCGATCTGTTCTTCACACACAGAGCTGTGCTATCGCTGTCACGACCCTGAAAATACACACACGTAATAAAATTTGTTTAATAAATAGACTGTTTTGTAGAATTGGTGATGACAGCTTCACACTTTGAGGTTCTCTTAACAAACGTCCTTAATAAGGTTGTTTGCAGAATTCAATAATAAGGATTTCTCTTATGATCAACACTTCTTTCTACAAAAACTTAAGTTCAGTTCCTCTTTTTAATGTCAAATATCAACACATTCATGTATTCAATGAATATTTGTAGGCTCATACTGGTCTTTGTTTGCTTCTTTGACCAGTAAAACCACAATAATCACTTTCTATGTTGGGTCTGCTATGTTTGATCCTGAGCAATCCAGTGCAGTGTTAAATCTCATTTGCACTCATGCTCATAAAACATGAGTGCAAATGAGCTGAGTTTGCTGTTTGTTAAAGGAATATGTACAGTGGTGCTAAAGTAGTGAAAAGGAGAACGGGTTTTAAAGCTACATATCTGTTATCTATATCATATTTTATCATATATATCATATTACACCAAATCAAATATGACTAAAGTAAGACTCTGGAAATGAAAACTATCTGCATTTAAAGGTTTACTGAAGAAAGAGGAAAGAGATAAAGCTGAGATGAGTCGGATGTGATGTAGAAACTCGCATCATCGGCATAAAAAACAAACAAGTATTAATTCCTTGAATGTGTTGGCTCCAGGCTGTAATGATGCCTGGAGTTTTCCAGGCAAATGAAAACATTTTTTACATGCTACTGGTCACATTGTCAGGAAACACTTGATTGTCGACAAGCTGGTCGACGGGCACAAACGAACTTTTAGCTGCATAACACTTCATACACGTGACAAAAGTTCAAAGTGCTTCATAAGAGGAAACAGTTGCAATGTAAAAGTAAAAGAACCTGAGGACACAAGAAATGAAAATGTAACAAAATAACAAATCTTATTTTTAAAATGAAATTAGGTGAAAATAAAAGTAGAGGAGGCAAAATACAAGGAAAATGAGAACATTTACTCAAATATGACTTCTTTTCCACTGGGTATGAGAAAAATTTGAGATGCTCTCAAATTTTGATACCTCCTGAATAAGCACAAAGCTGCCAACTATTCCTGAACAGAAACAGTCCATTTATTTGAATACAGTTTTCCCAACTCCAACTAAATGAAGGTACTTTCAGCCACTCCTTTATTTCCCAAGGGTCCCTACAAAGGATGGATTCAAGATGCCTTTCTTTACACCACCCGGGTTTGTGACCTACTGAGTTTCATTTTTCCACCTGGAAACTATTCAGGGATTTTCATGGTGAATGTGTTAATCAGTAAGCTTCAGCGTTTGTGCTTTGTTTTTTTCTCTTTTTGCATTATTGTTCGAACTTATTTCAGCTGCTGCTCTGTCTTCTAATCATTTCATCTTATTTGCAGCAGGGGAAGCATAAATAGATCAGAACATCTATTTTTGAGGTACGTGTTTCTTATGAGACTCATGAGTTTACTTTCATAAACTTGTGAAATGTGGGACATTGTCTGATTATGTGGGGCGGCGGGCTGAGGGATAAAGCTGCTGTACAGGCCCACATAAGACGGCACACCTGTTCAGAAGGACCATTCTGTGTTTTCACCACTTTTATGAAGCGTTCCTCTAACAGCTGACGGCTCATACTGAGGATATAATAAAATAACTGCTTTTCTAAACTGTCACAGTTAAATAATCTGCGTGTAATAAAAGATTAATAATGCAGCAAAAAGAGCCTTCTGCATACATGCACTTTAAACAGTAACTTTTTAACTAATATTTGCTTGCACTTGTAAAGGAGTCATTTTTAATGCTGAGACTGTGTGATTTCCACCACTGGATTTGAATGAGCTCATAATCTTCCCTTTGGCTCAGTCTCCTGAGACAAATCTTTGATTTAAAATGCAGAATTCTTTTCCTAGAATTTAGTTTTTTTTATCAGTAACTCATCTTCAGTTCACATTTCTCCACATTAATAAGAAACAACTGCAAAAGTTTTCCTTTCATGTTTTAAAAGGCCAAACTGAGAGCTGATCGACATCTTTAAGACTCTTTTCTTCTTATTTTAATCACCTTTATCTCGCTCTTTCTCATTTTGCTTTGTTTTTTTTTTCAGCCGGCTTTTAATTGAGTTTTGTTATTTCCCTAAACTTTTTTTCATGTGTTATGATGAAGAAAAATGAAGCTCTCTTCTTGCCCTGTAGCACAGATTTCCTCCCTTTCTCCATGTATTCGCCACTTTCTCTGCACCCCATTTTTCTTCCTCTTCACCCTCATTATGCACTCTTTAAATCCAGCAGTCATCCCTCATTTTGGCTCAGTGCAGCAGAGAGATTAAGACTCAACAATATCTGTGTGAGTCTCCGTGTGAGACCCATCCACTCACCCTCTACCTGGAGCCTAAAGCCGTTTTCATGATAAAACATTTAAACCCGGTGAATCTTTCATCCTCTGGACTGAAGAAAAAACTGAGAGTCTGAGTCACGATTAAGCTGAAAGATAAAAAAAGAAAGTTCCTCAGATCTGCAGTGATTTAGATCCAGTTTATTTTCAGAATGTAATAAAAATATTCCTGCAGGTTCACACTGTGCGATGCATCCATCTAGTAAATAGGAACAAGACTAAAAGGCCGAGGGCTCCTCTGAATCTTTCATACTCCTCACACCCCAACAAATTATGTGAGTTCTGAAATTATAACAAAAAAAAAGAAACCATTCTTTTCTCTGAAAATGTTGGACAGTTATTGGTATTTAAATGGAAGTTTAGAGTGGAAACTAAAGGACATCTTTAATCACATTAAGTATGGCTGTTCTGTCACATAGCTAGCATCACTAGCATTTTAGAAAAATATATACAAGGAAAAGATGCAAAAATGGTGCAGTACTGGACACCGAGAGATAGCTGCCCTATTTAGAGTTTCAGATTATTTATTTTAATTTGGCTTTTCTGCTGCGTCCCAAACAACAGCTGGATCTAAGGTGCTAAAGCTGTAGGCTCACCCAGTTTGTTTAAATGTGATGCCAAAGGTTTCTTTAACAAGCATCCATTCAAGGAGCTGGAACTAACAAACATCTCACTATGACCTAAAACCAGAGTCGCACTGGGGCAACAGTGTTTGGAGTCTCCATGAATGGCCAACATTAATGCAACTTTTACCATCTGTTGCCATCAACATACGCAGAAATTCCCATTAAACAGAGTTTGAACTAAATTAACTAACTTCTTTCATTCAGAGTCAGGCTAGAACCTCGTAGATTTGAAATAAACATTCTGAAATTCCTGCACAAATAGAGATGTAGTTGCTGGAGGATACAAATTCAAGAGAAAAATGACATTGGCACTCAGCAACCTCGCTTTTATGTAGAAATATAGCCAGGATGCAACCGGTTTACGGCCCCTATGCAAACAGACCGACCACAGATGAGTTGTGCTGATTGGGCCAGATCAACTGTGACTGATTGCAAACTAAATCTGTCTGCATTTATAAACTGAATTCTTACTCTAGTGCGACTGAGCCATAAACTCATAATATGATTCACCACAGGGCAGCTTTTTTGGGACAGCAGTATCTTTGATGAAGCATGGGCCCATTTACACGCTGAGGAAAGTTCCTGATCAGTTTTAACATTTACTCTCTCATAGTTTTCCTGACTGTAAAAATGGGTCTGGCTCTTGTGGGTTAATGCCGAAATATTATATTAAAACTGTTTCGGTTGTCAGCTGCTTTTTAATTATTCTGATCATGTGTTTAATGTAAAATCTTAATCTGCAGGTGTATCTGTCAACGAAATGTAAGATGATATCAGAAGACTCTAATTAGCATTCAGGGTTATTTCATCCTGCTGAGGTTTCATCTGAAAGGTTTCTATGTGTCTAGGAAAAAACACCAATTAGCTGCCGTTTGTTATGTGCAAAACAACAACCTGTGCAGGATCCTGAAACTACCGAATTTGCCTTGTGCGATCAGTAAAGTATCTAACCGTCTGATTTAAATCTTCACAGTACGTTGTTGTTTGTGTCTGTTGCATCTGTGGACAGTGATCAGGTTCCACTGCGCTTTTGCCAAGTTGCTGCTGGGGAAACTCTCCTCATGCGCTTCTTATTAGTGAATCACCAAACTGCTGAAGCAGCAGCTCTTCGTCTGTCTGAGGGTCTGAGGCGCTCTTTGTTTTGCTGCCTCTCTCTTAGTCTTGCCTCACCTCAGCATGTCAAAACTCATTAAATCTGCAGCTCACTTTTCTAAAAATTAAATACTGAATTCAATTTGCAGATGATAACTAAAATGACATTGACTGTTTGGGGGGATTTCGAAGAAAACAACTCACAAGTAAATCTTCAAACTTTCAGAAAAACTCTGGATAGTCACTGGTACCTGCCGTTTGATAGATGGATTTACTATTTTCTAAGAAAAACATTGTTAATGGACAAAATCCACATTTTTACAAAATAGCTATATTTACACAATTAATACATTTCACTGTAATAATTGTCACGGTCCTGTTTTTGAGTCGGAAATCCTTCAAGCTTGACTTTCTTTTTGAGTTCTGTTAGTGTCGGTCATTAAAATAAAAACAGCCAGGCTTATAGTTTTAGCTGGTGTAATGTCAAAAATATAGAATGAATTTTGCTAGACAGTTTGAACATATTTATTAAGTCCACTGAGCTTTAAAGCTAAACATGACGGTGAAATGTGTTATTTGAGGGAAATTATAAACACAAATAGAGGGGAAAATATCATTTTAGTCGTGTAAATCACAGGGACTTATTTGTATAGCTGAGTCAAAGATGGGCGTGTCACAGTCGCAGAAGCTGAAGTGTGGAGTGAGGAGATGGACTCAAGTGCAGACATGCGAAGAGACAAAAAAACATGAGCCATTTATTAAGGCTGTCAAAAATAATACAAACAAAAGGGCAGGGCGAGGGCGAAACCTAAACTCGGTGAACTAAAGCTTAAAAGTGGACACGGACACCTGAAACATGAAGACTCGGCATGAATACATTCACCTGGAAACACAGCAGGACAAACGGATGAGGAATGAAAACTGAATACATAAAGGAGGTGATCAGGGGAAGTGGAAACACACGGAGAAACAGCTGATTAGAATGGACAGAATGACGCCACAGGGAAGTGAAACTAAACACACTGAACATGGAACACCAGACCTTCAAAATAAAACAGGAAACATTAAGACTTAAAAGACTTAAAATGACGAACCAAAGAGGAACACATTCACTATAAACATACAGAGGGAAAAGGGAACTGGAGATGAGACATGGAAACAGAACATGATGGCTGGGGGAAACACAAACAAAGACAAAGACATTAGTGAAACACATGAAGAGCGAGGGAGACGAAGACACAAGGGGAATCTGATAAACAATGAACTATAACAGGGCAACCTGGGGAAAACAGAATGAGCTTAAATTAATTTAAACATAAATCATAAACCATCCAGATATATTGAACTCAAGCACTGGGTCAACCAACCCAGCACCGTGACAGGGCCATGAAATGCATTGTGAGAAGTCAAGCTCACTGCAGCTAAAGTATAGATAAGTCATGCTCAGCAGAATCCTAGTGAACCATATTATGGATTCAGATATCTGTGGTCCTAAAGGTGTTGGTCTGCAGTAGCTCCTTCACATACATTATGCTTATGGAGTGGATGCATGCCTGTAACAGTGCTGTCATGATTAGCAAAACCAAGGAGGACAAAGATTTCCTGAATTTAAAGGTCAAACATCCTGGAAATCTTATTACAGAGCAAATGATGGATGATGAAGGTATTTATAACGCTGGATGATGTATGCAGAAGTAAACATCGTCATCCCCAAATTTATTGCATGTACATGTGGCCTGAAGATCTCTCTGTTCACAGTATACTGCACACATCTGTGTGTGGGACACTTGTGGGCAAACTACAGGAAAGTGAGAAACTACATGTAGCTGATGAGGCCTCGTGCATGGTGGTTTTTACTGAACAGACCGAGATGCTTCAGGTCAAGGCAAATTTTCGCAGCTGCTGAAAGTCAGCACATTTGATGCCTCGTTAAGAAATCTCATGTAAAATTTATTTGCAGGCTCAGATTTATTTGTGGGTTTAACAGTTATAAAGTTTGGCCCCACACATCAGCCAGCTTTCTCTCTGGGTGTACTTTTATTTGATTTTATCTTGTTTGTTGTGGTTTATGTGGCTTTGTGTTTTTCACTCTGTCTTTAGTCCCTTTATCTCTCCTTACCCTTCCACAACTTTCTGAGTTAACCTGAGTGTAATCCAGCCTTCTTCCTTGACAGTGAGAAATCATCCACTGTTAGTGTGAGTGTCTGCGTCCATGTTTGTGCGTCTCACCCTGAGCCCTCGGTCTTCTTTGTACTGGAGGAAGGCGTTGGTTGTTCCTTTCTTTGCCATGCGGATCCGAGCCAAGCGCACTTTCTGTTTGACAGAAATACAGGAAAACAGCAGCGTCAGCGCCTCACACACACACACACACACACACACACACACACACACACACACACACACACACACACACTGTAGAGGAGCACATCATCTGTCTCTAAACTCATAATTTTTCAGGTGAATTGCAATTTTTGCTGCAAAGCTCCAGTTTTCGGGCTTTAAAGGTGCTTTTTAATAAAACGTTATTTTTTCAGCTGATACAATAGAAGCATAAAGATGCACCACATGTACGTTTAGGGTGCACCCAAAGAATAAAAATGAAAACTGATGGGCATGACAGCTACACAGAAGTCAAGCCAAAATATCACAGCTGCCTCCTATTGGCTGGGTGCAGTATTGGTCATCGTGCCAGAGGTGCACAACACCAGGAGAAGAAAGCAGCACAGTTCAGTGAACTTAGAACTGAAGAAGCTTCTTGGATGAGAGAAAAATCTCCAAGAAACTTAGATTATCTTGACCTGGATGGCTGAGAACCCACACAGACAAAGCAGCACACAGTTTCAACATATTTTGATTTCATTTATCAAAAGTGGGATGAAGCAGCGACGCTGCTTATCTTGATTTGCTATTTCTGTTTGTGCAGTGTATTAAACATTTTATGACTCCACCCAAAAAGCAAAAAAATGACCTGATTTTTCACGCCGGTGTCGATCCTAGATGGCAAGTGGCCAGAACGGAAGCACTGAAAGGAGATGTTCGAGGAGATGGCCTTAAAGGGTTTCCTTGGCCTGTTAGATGTTCGCTAGACCTCAGTCAAAAGATAACTGCTCAGTGAGTAAATGAATCAATGCATGGCTGAAATGAGGTATCTCTGAAAACAAAAGTTTTCAGCCAACTTTAATCATAAAGGGATTTTGTTTTAAAGGCCACAGTATCTGATTAGACTCATCCCAGAACACAACATGGATGGGTGGAGCTTGAAGAGGTCAAAGGTGGATGTTTAGTTACATGGTTTTTATTTGTGTTGTCTTAAACCTGCATCAGAACCTAGAAGCTGCAGTCTTACTTCTTGGTTAGACTATTTTGAGCTCGATACTGAAACGTCAGAATCAGACCTGCTGTGCTCTCCTCTTGTCCGCTCTCTGGTTCTGGTGGTAGATCCGGCTGAAGTTGGACACGATGACAGGTACAGGAAGGGCGATCACCAGGACGCCGCTCAGAGAGCAGATCGATCCAAAGATCTTCCCTGCGATGGTGTTTGGAACCATGTCTCCATATCTGCAGAGAGAAAACGTTTTTCATATGAAATTTCCGAATAAATGAATCCATTGATTCCAAGCAGGAGGTTGAGCAAGAAGAAGACTTCTTTATGGTGATCATCACATAAATAGCATTATGTCTCTCCAATAAACTTTGAGGCTGCAATTTACTATATAAACACAATTTAGACAAACAAGTTCAATACTGGGAAAATGTTGCCACTAACACGAATCACTGAAACTGGATATTTATTTGATTTTAGAGGTTTTTTCAATCTGTGGTATTAGTTAAAAGATAAATAGGCAAGTTCTCCACAAGATTACAGTGCCAGTGTTGAAAAGCTGCTCACACACACACTCACAAATTCCTGGTCGCTGCCTCATGCGGCCTTCACCTTTCATTGTGCTCAGCCATAAATCACAGGTAGTGAGACGAGGACAAGTAAGAGGAGGAGGAGGAAGAGATTAGAGAGCTGGCAGGAGGCCAGGATGCTTTGTGTGATTCTGCTCAGACACACCGACGGGAGAAACCTGCAGCTGCACCAGTCAACAGTTTACTATACAAACCAGTCAACAGCTAGAAGCTGATTGATGCTCAGCTCCACCTGTTTACTTTGTTTCTTTAAGTAAATATTCAGAGAGATATGATCAGCAATCGGTCCTCCGGTTTAAGAAGTGCCGTTGGATGATGCATCAAAGTCTCATTTTTGAAAAGTTTTCTTAGCTTTATTAAAGCAGAGATAAGCCTGAGAAATCACGGGCCGCGGCGTGCTCATATGACAGCCGTTGGTTAATCACAAGGTAGTATAAAGCATACTTGGCTCTGTTGTGCTTTTTGACGTTAAAGGGGATCATATTGGAAAAATGAACATCATGTTATATTTAATAAGGCTTGAAATAGGCAGATGAAACCATAAACTCATCAGGAAAAGTGGATCAAAGGAGCCAAAGGTCATTTTTCAAAACGTCTTTACAGCAGGACTACTTTTTGAAAGTTTTAAGGTGTTTGGACAGGTTTCCACTTTTGGATTCAGAAGTTATGTAATTGTTTCATTTGCAGTCTCTGAGTAGGAGTCAGTGATCTGTAAATGGCTCTGAGTCAGATGAATATTCATATATATCCATTTAAAATTACACTTTTTTTTTTTTTTAGCTTAGTTTATTTTATGGGAAATCTTTAAAAAAAACTGCACCACGTTTCGTTAACGTTTCCTTTTTGCTTCCTAACCTACCTGTACTTTGTATCAGGATCTGAAATGAAACATTATCACACAATAACTTTGAAATGCTGCTGTAGTGTTTATTTGTACTTCTTTTAGCATCAAAAACCTTATTTTAGAAAGTTTCTCCAGAGAGACGTAAAATCTCTCATAAAGTTGTTATTATAATTAAGTCCTCAGTGAACTGTGTACCAATCATTATTACTCAAAGAAATTATTTCTTTCCAGCTGATTAAATGATTAATTTGTAAGAACACATTCCCGTTTTTTTAACTGGTGTCTGTCTCACTGTGGATTTAACTCTTTATATTACACATATGCAAATCAGCACAGGTTGTACAGTAAATCAGATATGTAGGTAATGAACTGCAGCTCTCTGCTCGTGTACCTGCAGCATTATATATCCGTCCTTCTCAAAATAAGGCCGCGACCTTGTCTGCTGTGTGCTGCTCAAATCTTACAAGCCATTTTATTATTTTTCAAAACTTTAAAGCTAATTTTAAAGCTGTGCAGTTGCTCCTCCTGAAGATGAGTTTCATAATGAATTGCTTCTCATTCTTGGCATAAATCCTGTTTTCTAAATCTAATTCCACATGTACTGAAGTGCATTCAGCTGACTGACAGACTGCACAGAATGATTTGCATTTTCCCCTCATTCCTTCATAGCTTTTCTTTATAGTCCATATACCCTACACTTTACCTCCTGGTATAAAGTGCAGAGATGGTCCGCATGGAGCCAGAACATCCTGAAGTTTAATCATCGAGAAAATCCCAGGTTCCTTATCTGCTCTCTTACTGGATCAAAATTTCTGTATCGAGGTGTTAAAGACAGATCTTCGGTGGTATCAGTGTGTGTTTGCTGATTTCCTTTTTTTCTCTATTAATCGGTTTATTCTGTGGTTAGTTCGAGGCCTTGATTTCAAATGACCTGGACTCTGAAAGCTAAACATTATGCAGTGGTACTGAAAGACAAACACCGTGTGCTAAAAGCCATGTTTGAGAAGCTGGAAGTAGATTATTTCTCCTAAAATGAGCCAGAACACGCTCACCAAACCTGATCCTCTGCTTTTTGAAACCAGAATTTCCACACTTCCAAACATCAGCTCAGACCTGCATCCCACCGTGTCACTCACATAAAGCACAAAGACAGAGTGAGACACTTCTGAAACAACTAATATGGATCTTTTAGGCCCTCTCGCTGCTCGACTTTCCACTCTCCGAAGCTAAATGACTTTAGCTAAGTGATATGCAGTTAATTGTTAAGATGCATCTTTCACCCAGCTCTGTGCTTATTCTTAAATTCACTGGACTCCTGGCTGAGGAGAGTGCATCACTGACTGTAATTCGCCGGGAGCCGAGGGCGTGCACGCGGGTCAGTTTTACTGAACCTCCAGTGTCCTCAGCCGGGAGACATATTGGCAGCTGGGAGCAGATCAATGGAGATAACAGAGGGCAGAGAGGAACAGAAGTCATCTGTAATTGTTGGCAAAAAGCACTCAGAAGAATCGACGGAGACGTCAGACTGCGGCCAAACAGCCAGGATGAATCTGTGCCGGATCTCTAACTGAACTCAGCCTGAACATCGGAGAGGCCTGTATCTGGATCCTCCCTCCTTCATCATTTCTCAAGTTTTTACATAATTTTTACTTCAAGGTTTGTAAAATAAGCACAAACTACAATTTAATGACATTTTAAAGCATATGTATGTGTCAAAAGTGTGCAATTTACAGAAAAATATACAGCCTAGGGTCCGATACCCAAAACTAATATTTAAATTTTACTATATTTCATCTCGTTTTCATCTCGAGGCTTGTCTTGATCTCAACAGTGGAAATGCAAAGAGGAACATATGGAGGACACGAGGACAAACGCTGACATGAAACACAGGCAGGCAAGGAGGTGGAAGTAAAGCGACAGGTAACATCTAATAAAAGGTAACAAAGAACTACAGCAGTGAGGGAAACAGACAAATACAGACACATGAAACTGCAAAACACTAAAACACAGACGTAACAGCACAGCACACATGGTCAAGGACACACAGATACTATAAGATCAAACGTCATAGACCAACACAGTGACTAAACCCTACTGCCTACATCTAACCAACATGTTAAAGCTAAGTAAACAAAAACAAGTTGTGAGTCTTCCCTTTCTGGAGCTCGTGCACTGTGGTAGATTTATGCCAGGCCAGTTCCCTTCCAAATGTAGACTAAGTCTTTATGACTGTGGCAGCGTCACCATCAGGATATTAGCATGCGCCTAAATAACCTCCTATTGGCTTTGTTTCTGTGGTGCTGGCACAAAATTTTCACAGGAGAAAACATCAGAGCAGAAAGAAAACATCTCAGAAATCTCATTTTCAGACAGCAGCATAGTTCAGGACTTTAACCCAAAATACTGATGAAGGGCGAAGTCATAAACTTGCCAACTTCCTACAACTCCTGATGCTGTAGAACAAGATGGGAAAACAGGCAACGAGCTGCTGCCAGCCGTGTGAGTACAGCTCAGAATGCAAATGAATGTAAATGGAAATGAACCGCTCTGTGACGGGCAGACGGCCGACCGGAGCATCTGCCAGCTGTTTAACTCCGTACAGCTGGAACAGCAGCCTCATTAGCCTGCACTTTATGGACCCTGTGATTCATGCAATTGTTGAAGAAGGAAGAAAGAGCCTGCACATTCATCAGGTGCTACCATCATTAGAGGTGCCCTAACAGCCAAGTCATTTTTCCCCCCGCGGGTGCTGCAATTTAATCAGTTCAACAACAAATTTACATTTCCTCGCAAATGTTGAAAACTAAATTAGATTTCATTGGCGATTTGTATGGATTTACAGAAAAAATCCAATTCAAACCAACTTCTAATAGCCATCTTATCACAGATGCTTCAAAATTCTCATTAAAACTTGTAAAATGATTTTTTTTTTTCAAATGGTGAGCGCAGCCGTATACAGAAAAACAACATTTATAAGCTGCAGTATTACAGGCGGCAGCACAAATGGATTTTCAGGTGTAACAAGAGGATGATACAAACGCTTTAAATCAGTTAAGCAGCTGTGAAACTAATATTCAGCACATCACTCATCAAGCCAGCTAACCCCAAATGTTCATGACCTTTTTCCTGTTTTTGGATAGAAGGGCTTGAGACAACAGAGATAGAGCTTAACTTTTTCTTTTCTGGGTTCAAGCAGATACCTGTCTGTTAGTATTACTGACATCCACTACATGCAGGTGTATCCCACAAACCAAATAGCAGGTAGACTTAGCCTCCTGTAGGACTGCATCATGGGGACTGTAGTAACCTCTGTCTCTCTTCCACAGCATGTCTTTATCCTGTCTTCCTTCTCTCACCCCAACCAATCACAGCAAATGGCCCCGCCCCTCCCTGAGCCTGGTTCTGCTGGAGGTTTCTTCCTGTTAAAAGGGAGGTTTTCCTTCCCACTGTCGCCAAAGCACTTGATTGTTGGGTTTTTCTCTGTATGTATTATTGTGAGTCTACCTTACAATATAAAGCAGCAATAATGCTCTTGGAGCTAAATAAATAAACTTGAATTAAATATATTCTGGGTTGAAACTTTAAAATCTTTTTTATTATTAATATATTTAGTAATAAATCTCAGCTCTGTGAATGTGAAATATAAAAGAAATTACAGATTGACAATGATTTCATTTTTAATAAAAAATGACTGATGCTGTCTTTTCAATCTATCTTCTACCTTTTATAGCAGCCGGTGATTTTTGAATTCGTTTTTTGCATTTCTACTAAAACTGAAATATTCTTTAATACTCCGGCTTCC